TGCTTTTCTCTTAAAAGCTAAATGAGATACACTTTATCTACATGAGCGTCCTAAAGGCGTGCTACAGCTAACCAGTACTGCCAGGATCAGACACATCACACTGCACTAAGCCTATGAAAAGTGCTTTAACTATAATAAATGGTTACTATTTGAATGGTAAAAATACTTACTAGGCATACACTGGCACTTTTAAAAAAGACCTCACTTGATTTTACAGAAGAGACTCCATCATGAGAATGGGTACAGTTCCCCCTCCTGATTCCTTTCTTTCTTTCTTTTTGCGTATTTGTCACACTTAAATGTTTCAGCTCAAACTATTTTTAATATTACACAAAGATAAACAGAGTAAATACAAAACACCTTTTTTTAAATGATGATTTCACTTCCTAAGGGAATAAAGTTATCCAAACCTCCCTGCCCTGTGCGGGAAATAATTCCTCCCAAATCAACTGTGATTAACCACAGTTCAATTTCAGCAGCCGTGCCAAATTACTGCCACAAATGACTTAAATAGATCTCAAAAATCAACACATCGTGACACAATCTAAAGAAACGCCTGATAAACTAAGTCAGCGTCATCGCTGTGATCAGTCCGAGGCTTCACAGGAGTGGCTGGCCTGCCAACATTATTCAAAGAGCGCATCAACAACTCACCCAGTAGGTCACAGAAGAACCAGAACAAGAACTGCAGGCCTCGCTTGCCTCAGTCAAGGTCAGAGTTCATGACTCAACAATAAGAAAGAGACTGGGCAAAACTGGAGAGTTCAAAGAGAAAACCAATGCTGACCAAAAAGAGCACCATGGCTTGTCTCACATCTGCCAAAAAAAAAAACATCTGGATGATCCACAAGACTTCTGGGAAAATATTCTGCGGACTGACGAGAACAAAAGATGAACTTTCTGGAAGGTTTGAGTCCCATTACATACTGCATTTCATAAAAAGAACATCAGAGCAACAGTCAAACATGGTGGTGGTGGTGGTGTGATGGTCAGGGGCTGTTCTGTAGTGGTTTCAATCAGACTCAGATATTTTGGCGTGACCTCAAACTGGTCATTCATGCTGGAAACCCTCCAAAGTAGCAGAATTACAACAATTCTGTAAAGAACAGTGGACCAGAACTCCTCCAAAACCATGTGAAAGACTCATAAACACATAACTGTGTGTCCTCCTGCCAAGAGACACAACCAGTTATTAGGTTTAGGGGGAAATTAGTTTTTCACACGGGGCAGGTGTGTTATTGTTTAAATACTGCATTTTGTATTGACTCAGATTGTTGTTGTCTATTATTAAAATTTATTTGAAGCTCAGAAACATTTAGGTGCAAAAAAAACTCAGAAATCAGGAAGTGGGCAACAAGCAGCAAACAGATCAGGCCAGAAAGAAAGGGGGGAAACTATTCACTAAACACATGATAAACAATGTATCTACACTATAGGGATAAAAGAACCAGTTCACACTTCTTAATATAAGATGTCTGTTGTTTTCAGTCCCGTTGCCACAGGTGTGTAATATCAGCAGGCTCATTTAAAGAGCTCAGCAGTTCCAAGTCTGTTACTGTAACAAGTCAGTCTGTGAGTTTTCACCCCTTCCAAATATTCAACCATCAGCTGTGTTCAAACGTCATCTGGCATTATCATCAGCACCAAGTCTGTGCACCAGGAGCTTCATGAGATGGTTCACGATGACCGAGCAGCTCCTGTAATTATAACGTACGAGTTCCACACAGTGTTTTTTATCTAATGCCCTTCATTCTGTGCTTTTCTTTACTCATTTCGTGAAACTATGCATTTACAGGAAAGGTGAGAAGTGAGCCTACAATCTTAGTTTCACTGGAGACAAAGGGGAGGGATGTCCCTCCTACACTTATCTGTGTACAAGCGCCTATATTGTCTTTTCACGTATAACTCCAAAATGAGTGATATTACACACTCTCTACTGAATATAAAATTTGTAAAATGGTTACGTTTTACAAATTACGGTTATGTTTTAAGAGGCAACCACAAGACCAATCGCAGCAACCCAGGCTTGATTCTGACCCAATGCCGTTTGCAGCGTCTCTTCCACCACTCTCCTTCTCTTCACTAAAAAAAAAACTAATAAAAGCCCCCAAAATAATAATAAAAACAGAATTTATGGCTTAGCATCAGTGTGGTGAACGAGTTCTAAATCCACATCCTAAAACGTGTTAACCAAGCTAAATTAGGTACTTAGTGATGCGAGACCTGCCTTATCTCTAAAAAGAGCTTTAAAGGAATTAGAAAAAGTTAGAAAAAGACCTTTAATGTGTTAGTAAATAACAGCAGTTTCATATAAAAAGCAGCCATATCGAAGCCTTTTGTTTCTTCCATCCTCTCTGTGGGTTAAACTAACACGAGTTTTAATTCAGAGATAAATGTGAAACTAAAATGATCACAAACAGGAATTAAATCCTCTCAGAAGCTCACCTTAAGACTACATTTCATGAAGCCCAACTCTTTTTGAGATCGCTCAAATGCAGCGCTAATGTCTGTGCTGTGCATTAGCTCCTCTTAAGCACCACTGTGGGAACACCTAACAAAGCAGCTGATAAATAGTACTGCCAGTATCAGTTAGCTACAGTGCATGCAGAAACACAAGATAATAAAACGCTTTTAATCCAAGCAGCATACTCTCTAAGTAGAGTGAAGCAGATAGGGAGGAAGGGGAAAGAGACAGACAGAAAGCTAGCAGTCTCTGTGACATAAAAACATGATTTGCCTGGCACTGGGAGGGAGGATTAGGGACTGGACCACTGTACAACACACACATATATCCTAGATTTTTAATCCCGAAACACGCTAACAGCCAAAATTATACGGCTACAAGAGATTAGTGTTGCAGAAAAATGACTGAGTGACAACAAGAAAGTCAGAAAAACACAGAGAGAGAAAATACTTAGGAAGAAGAAAAGGAGACTACAAATTCACCATCCCCCAAGAAGCAGAACTGGAGTCTGATGTCAAAAGTTCTGAAAGGGGGGGGTTGAAAAATGAAGACAAGCAACAGGACAATTACTGTGAAAATGATTAAGAGGAAAAAGGGCTAAAACCATTTGAGAGCACAAAGTGCAGAGCGAAGGTGGAAAGAGGAGGAGAGACTGAGACTTGCTGACAAAGGTGTGGGAGACAGCGGGAAAAGGGAAAGAAAACAGAGGAAGAAGAGAAGAGCAGGCCAAAACACACAGAGCGAGCATGTTCTTAGCAAAGAATTTCATTGACACCAAACAAAGACTTTAAACACTAACAGACCAAAGCAGCAGAGCAGGGAGGCGCTCACATCGCAGCACACCTCAGATGTTCCTGCTCTAGCTTCATAGCACCGCGCTAGATCTATGCTGCAGCCTGCAGTCCACTTTCCCTGATATGTAACTGCAGCGAAGCAGACCTCAACTGCTGTGACAGGTCTGAGAAACACAGCATCCGTCCACAAGGATGATGCCTTTATAAAGCAAATAGCAGTTTTATTATTAAAACAAAGCTTCCTTTTAATAAGTCAGAGCTACTAAAAGGAGACTTGAGAGTCAGTTCTTCAGTGAACTGTTGTCTAAGATTTATTGACTCTAATTCCAGCATGATCGGCTCAGACTCGTGATAGCAGAGCTAATGGAGACACAACATCACTCGCTGCAGCAGGGATTCAAGACAGTACCACACATCACGCTTAAAAGCAAACAAACTACAGTCAAAACAGTGTAAACTGACCTTTACTGTGAAAATGAAAATAGGCCCTTTCTTTGATTTATTCAAGGCATGTAGCCGCACGAATCTTTTCTTCAGACACATTTACTTCTAGAGGTAGTCATCATCATAGCTTCCATTTTCTGAGCTGAAGATGGTGACAGTTTCTCTATCCATACCCTTCTAGTTCTAGCTGGAATGGGGGTATCTTATAAAGAAGAGCTGCATGTGAGGGACGAAGTGTTCAATGAGGAAGAACAGTTTAAACAAAAGGGAGACGACGGCGCGAGCTACGTGCACAGCAATATACAAGGTGAACAGGAGATTTATTTGAGTAAAAGATAAGAATGATAAATATGATGAAGGGGCAAAACACACAGGAGGGTTGTGTGGTGAGGGGTAATATACGGACAGGTGGAAGCGGATTAAAAAGGAAAAAAGGTCCAGGACGCAAGAAAAACAGGACGGCGTCTCTAGCACTCTCTCATATAAACCCACACACACACCTTCGGCATCTCTCCCTCAATCGCAGCTGAGACGATCCATCCATATGACTGCTGTGCCTTTTGAATAATGGACCCAATATGAAGCAAGTCACTGAGAAGATTTGGCTGTGTGATGGGGGTCATGGGGTTCCTGCCCTGAGAGCAGCGCCGGGAATCAACAGCAGTCATAAAGGAATCACAAGACGGAGTCATTTGCATTTTACACTCACAACTAAATTGGAAATGACTCGCGCCTGCTCCTCTCTGGACCATCACAATTCATATCAGATATGCTTTTAATTTTTTATACAGCAATTATGGAAAACCGGACCTCCATGGCTTTGTCTAATTTCCCAAGACTTTTAGATGTGAAAATCATATGGTCCTTTCATGATATAAAAATGACTGAGCTCTCGATTATTCTTTCATGACTTCAGGGGGAAAACCTCAAATGTTATGAAAGTGCTGTTTCATAAAAACTTATCTGTCTCGGAGTTCATGAAAATCTTAACACATTATTACAGAACTACTTCTTACAATAAATAATGGAGCTAACTGACAGCTCAAGGGTGAGATGGACTCGGAGAGAGATAAGGCTGCATTTGTTCATGCTTTTTCTTCATTTTTCCCAAGCAGAGCGCTCGCTCTATGGGGTATCACTGACAAAAACATATTTTTCTGCAGCTGCGATTTTTGCCACAGTCACAGTATAAAGATGTGCTGCGTTTAATGTGTTGAATAAAAGAGTCACTTCTCGTGCCAAGACTGCTATCAGGCGTAATTGCAAAGACAGGTGCTTTGCAAACTTCTCTACAGTACCTGCTCCAGGAGTTTTCTGTATCTCTGCGTGGCTTGCTGGATGAGGTCCCTCACGGTCCATCCCTCCTTGCATGGCACCACCACACCTGTCTGCCCAAATGTTACTGTCACCTTCATGATGGCTGCTCTCCACCTTATCCCAGATCCGAGCCCTCTGGATGCAGATGATGAGCAATGTTCGTAACAATGCAGGAAGGCCTCCCGGAAAGACTTGACAAGAAGGCAAGGATGTCATCAAATACCAAAAATGTAAAAACACAGTACTGGCTGTAGGTGGCTTGAACACAGCTGCATCCAAATAAAAGTTAGATTTCTAAAACCCAAACTGCTTTCCAGAACTCTCCACGGGCATTAGAGTCATTTTGTGATCTCAGTACATCCAGCCGCCTTCACATGCAAAGGTAACCATGGCTCCTCTCCTCGTCTCCTCAAGCATAGCTAAGGATACAACTCAGCAGGTCTGAACACAGCTTCCTGAAGCGTTAAACTACTGCACTGTTTGCGTGATGGAGCTGAGCGGTGTGTCCTGTCATGCCTCACGGCGGCTTAACTGTAGTTAACTTGTAATAAAGTTAGCTGTGTATCAGCTAGCTGCACTAGCCCCGGCTATGATAACAAACCCGGGGTGGACGCTTTCAGTCTGTCACAGCTCTCCGATCTCCACACGCTTCCTCCACTATCACAGATGCCGTGTTTCTACGTGTTTTACCAGTCAGACAAAAGTTTATCCAAACTTTCACATAACAGCTAGCCGAAGCTGGCTCCTTCGCTAGCTAACGTTAGCAACCTTAGCTGAACTTTGGAGGGAGGGATGCAGTCGGTCGGGCATCATTCCACAAGTTTTCCCTCTCCCAACTTTCCTTTTTTCCAAGCCGTCACTTGCATCCACTACATCCCGGACAGGCACGATAAGAAGACGGGGACGCAGTTTTGATATTCGGCGGTAAACTGGGCGTGTACTGGAGCAGGTAACGGAGCAGTAAACTATGTTTTGGAAAAGTTTTGAGATTCCTTCACTGCCGACCGCTCCTGACCAGTTCCTGACCAGCTCCTCCACCGCTTCACGCTGTTCACTTTCTTAAAGGGGAAGTGCTCCAATTAATGCTGCAGCTGGGAGTAATGCAG